TTTTTATTTTTATTTTATTTTATAAATTATTATTTATTTTTTTTATATATATTTTATTATTTTTTATATTTTATATATTAATAAAATAAAAGAATTATATTTAATTCTTTCAATTTTAATTGATTATAATAAATTTAATAAATTTTTATTTTTTTTCTTTTGTTTAATTAGTTACTTATTTTTTTTTACTATTTTTAAATAAATATTAAATAAATAATATATTATCTATTTATAAATATCTGTCTCAAAATAATTTTATTCCCTTTACTAAATTTTTAATATAATTTTTTTGATAGTTAGCTTTTATTATATCAGATAAATTTTGTCATATTCTTTATTATGATTTTAAAATATCTTTATCTAAAATTTAATAATTATTAAGAGATTTTATCTATAATATAATTTAATTGGTTGACCTGAATTTGATCAGATCAGGTTAGATTAGGTAAACAGGTTGACCTAATCTGATTCAGAGCTCTAATAGGAACCTTAAAATCTTTAGACTTATATAATTATCAATAATAATAATTCTACAATATGGATCTTTTTAGCTTAAATAGGAATAAATAATACTTTTAATGGTAAAAGAATATTTACAGAATTAATTAAATCTAATATAACTTTTTGCTTTATAATTCCTTATTATGTAAGAGATTTCTGACAAAAATCTACTATATAGTTACATTCAAATTTTTTTTTTTTTCATTCTACTACTCTTGATTGGCAAGTATACTTTTGATCATATTCATTTTTACAATCCAAATAAATAAGACAAATTGGATAAGCATTCAAATGAAATTCTAAGAGAGAGACATTGTATATAATTAAATATGGTTAGTTATACAAAAAAAATACATTAGTAATTTGCTTTTGATATCACTTCATCTATAATACAAGCAAATTTGCCTGTAAATTTCTTTAGATTTAAATTATTATATGAAAAATGTATGTATTAAATTAGCAAAAATTATCAAAATATAATATTACGACCTATCATTTGCAATGCATTCAAATTTGGTTGCAGAATTTAGCATATTCAGATTTTTATGCAAAAAGTAAATCATTTGTATCACAAATAACTTACAGGCAAATTTGCTTGTGAATCTTTAATTTGATACAATTTGTATAATATAATATAAAATTGTAGGCAAATTTATCTGCAAATAGTACAAATTTAAGCTACCAAGTTTTTTCAATTTTTTCTATGAAATTAATTCTCTTTCTATGAAAATCCAACCTTTTCCCTATGAAAATCAATTTCCTCCTATGACAATCCAATTTTTTTTCTATGAAATCCAAATTTTTCTTTATAAAAATCCAATTTTTTCTTTACGAAATTCTAATTTTTTTCCTACAAAAATTTAATAGCAATTCAAAATTTTTTAGTGATAATGTTCATTAAAATGTACTTTAAATTTTGCAACAATATAGATTATTTAATCTAGATCAGCAAATTATTAACATTGAGTATTTGTCTTTGTTAACGTAATGTTAGAAATTGAAAAAAATTTTGAAGAAAATTTTGATAATTATATTTGTCAGTTCACACGAAAATGTGATTGTTTAGATGAGGTAAATGATAATGATAAGGATAGTGGAAATAAGTCTAATGCTAATAAAAGAAAACAAAAAAAGAATGATAATGATAAGTTTTGCAACCTCCTTTAAAATATACACCTATTTAACATAATTACCATGATTCAGATTTAACTTTATTGAATTCTTTCAACCCGAAAATTTCACTTCATATGTAATCTTTAAAGAATTTTTTTCTAAAAAGCAAGTTGAACTTATTATTCAAAATACAAATATATACGCATATTATTAAAATATGAAGAGAAGTAATTCATTTGACAAAAGTCATAAATAAACCAAATTGACGGTAAATGAGTTAAAGGTATGATTTGCCCTTGTAATATATATAGATATATTTCAATTTCTATCTATAGAAGATTATTGGAAATTAGATGATATTTATCTGACTCACGAGATCACAAATTTAATGTCTTTATTTTATTTTTAACAGATAAGTAGAATGATTGATAATCACTTTGATTTATTTTATTTTAAAATTTTTTAACTAAATTATTTTTTTTTAATTTTTTATATTAAATGATATCTGCATATTTCAGACATTACAAAACAAATGAATATTTTTTTAAAACTTGAATTATTAGCTTTTCACGTTTGTAATATTTACAAAAAAACTATACATACCTGCATCTAACATTTCTATAGATGAAATAATAGCCTAATTTTCTAGACAAAATGCTTATATATTTAGAATAAAGAATAAATCTACTCTAGAAGGATATAAGATAAAGATGGCGTTGCAATATTGTGACACTTATTTGTCACCTGTTGCAACTTAAATTTTAATAATGTTGCAATTCGTTGCAACATTGTGATGCTTATTTGTCACCTGTTGCAACTAATTGAGGCGCCATCTTTAATATAAGATATTATCTTTATGTGATTCAAGTTACATATACACTTTCATATTTACATCAAGGGTCAAGGCATCTAATGTTGATATTATTAAAAGTGTTAATAAAATTAACGTGAAGATGTATCATTTAGTTGGCCAATTGCCATTACAAAAGCAATTTAACATTTATATGGATAATTACTTCTCAAGTGTAAACCTGTTTTTCTTCAAGAAAAAGGTATTAGCGCATGCGAAACTATTAGGATGAACACAATAAAATTTCCTGTAATTCTAAAGAAAGAAAAAGAAAAAAATGAGTGAGATTTTTTAAAAGGTGTTGTTGTAGATAATGTGTTGGCTAAAGATGGTCCCCATAATTATTTTCAAATTTTAATTGAGTTGTAACTTAATTGCGCCATAAGAAAATTTAATTGCGCCACAAGTTGCAACTAAATTGCACCATTTTTTTTAATTGCGGTGATCATCTTTAGTGTTAGCAATATTATGGATAGATAATAGGTCAGTAACAATGCTGATCACGATACACAATATTGATAGTAAAGTTTCTAAAGAATGTAGAAAACCTAGGAAAACAAGTACAAACAGCAAAAAGATTAGATCTGTATTTAAAGATGCAGCTCATAAAATTTTGCCAATCCTAAAAATAATTGATAACTACAACTATTACATAAACAGCGTTAACATTGCTGATCAACTATGTAGCTATTACTTAATGCAATTAGCTGTTTGTCAGACTTAGTCACACTTATTCTTCTGGTTATTAGACATATCTATCATAAATTCTTATTTAATTTGTAAAAAATTAGGAATAACAAAAGATCACAAAAGTTTTAGGCTGAATTTAATTCGTGATCTAATTAAAGATTCAATTAACGATAATAATTTTTTTAAAAAAGTTACTTATAGTGGTAAAGATAGATAAGCAAACTCAATTAATATAAATGAAAATAGATCTAAAAAAATCTGAGTTTTTAGTTCATTCGAATTATCAGTATGTAGATTAGTTAGTAATAATCATTATATGAAATATAAAGATAATAGAAAAGCCTATTTGTGGTATCAGTATCAGCAAAAAAAATTGAAAGGTCAACTTTACAGAATCCTTCTCAATCAAATTATTGATGTAGTAGATGTAACATTCCACTATGTTGTAACAAAAGTTGCCAAACATGTTTTAAAGAATTTCATACTTTTATTGAAAATTGATTTTTTTGTTACATATTAAACTTAAAAATTGTACTAATGAATTTGAAAAACAACAATAATAAAAAGTATGTAATTTTGATGGTATAAATAGCTAAATTTATATTTTGTAGGAAATTTACAGGCTTAAAGGAAAAATTTTATAATTTTTAAATTTATAAATAATTGAATTACTTTAGTTATAGTAAAAATTTATTAAAAAAATATATATTACAAATATAAAATTCAAATCTTAGGCTATATAATTTGTAATGGTTTATCTTACCCGTTAAGTTTTCTAATGCAACATAAAAATTCAGAATTTTTGCAGGCAAATATGCCTGCAAAGGCCTATAGATGAAGGGATAACACATCAAAAATTCAAGGCGTGAATTTATAATTACCTCAGTATCACTAACACTTTTTTCATCCCAAGTGACCAAATTTGCTGAACTTTCCTAAAAATAAAAATAAAACCTGGTGCAAATATCATATCTTTTAAGCTTATATATTATACATATTTTTATCTGATCTACAAGTTTACTAGGCAATAAAAGTAGGTTTACATATACAGATTTTGACTTTTATATGACCGTTTATAAATGATTGATTTATCAAAATTCAGCATTCTAAAACCCTTTTTGAACTCTAAGTAAACTTGCAGAGCGTAAAGAATTAGATGTAAATATTTAGTTTCGAGATTAGATAACGTGATAACGTCTGTGGTAAGTTTTATTTAACAAAACAAATTTTTCGTTAAAATTTTGATTACCATTTTTAGAAATGATCGGCAAATTTGGTTACGTGGGGTGAAAAAAGTGTTGGTGATACTGGGGAAGATGTGTATTATTCTGATATCACGTGCTTATTATTCTTATTATTATTTTTGAGTTGCCGGGTTGCTGAGTTGCCGGCATCAAATTTGTCAAGTGTCCCGTAACTTATAAAAGCAGCTGTAATGAAATAATTTATATTGACAATTTAGTTCTTTCAACTAATAGGTTATTCGGATGATCTTGATAATTCGAATAATCGTCATTAATTAACGATTAACGATTGATTAATCAAATACAAAATTTTTATCTGAATCAGACCTCTAATTCAATGTACGTATACTTTTGATCGTTTCGTTCTACAATTTATTTATTTATAATGGTAGTTTATTTTTTATACTTTTACCAAGATATAATTATATATAATTATATTTAAATATATACGAATATTATTTATATTATTTGTTCAAGTCTTTTTGGAATTCCTGTATTGACTTGATTATTTTGATCACATGGTCAGCAGTAAAATTTTCGCCTTGACTCTTAGATAACATCTGTGCGGTGTGGAGTACATTACGAATCTTACGGCCATTTAGTTAATATTCAACAAAATCATCTGCTTTGAGATTCAGATTAACACGTATGATGAAATTTGCCCAGACTTGATGTCTTTCTTTTAAACTGAGTTTGTCGTAATGGAAAAACATGCTAATTCGCGAACAAATTGCATCATCTAAAGATATGGCCCTATTTGTAGTTAAGAAGAGGATGCCTTAAAAGTGAGGACAGAAGGAATAATTAATCATGGTGAAAGATTAAATTAAAATAAACGTTAACTAATAAAATTTTTCACTTCTTTATACCTTGATAGTATTCTAGCTTACGTAAAAATATTCCAACCATTGCGTTGCGCTGTAGTTCTGATTTAGTGCGTCTTTCAAGATAAATGTCAGCTTCATCAAGTAGGAGAACAGTTTTCCATATAAAAGCTATATCTAAAACCTTGATTAATTGTTTTTCAAGGCTACGTACAGCAAAGATTAAAACAATCATTTTTCAGAATACATCTAAGTACAACAAGCATATTCGATTTATTCTAATAGATTATGTGCAAAAGAATACATACTGGGCAGGTTCCATCCCAAGTTCGTGTACGCTAATAATCCATAATGGCCGATTGAGAGATTCGGCAACGCTTTCAGCTGTCAATGTTTTTCCAGTTCCGAGCAGCCCATAACATAGAATAATACAGCCTTTGCCTTGATAGTAATGGGATCAAGTGATTTCGTCATGGGATTATTCTGGCTGTATTCACTATAATATTTCACTAATCCCTCAAGCATGTTTTTTTTATGTTGGTCCATCATAAGTTCATTGAAGGCATTGGAATCAAAACGAATATTCGAAAATTTCAAAACCTCGAATAAGTCCATTCCTTTAGCGTGAAACTAAACCCAAATACAATTGCAGGAGCGAGAAATTTAATATCTTATTGATGAATTTCGTCATCTTTAAGATAAATACCCTTTTTACAGAGTAACTCATAGTCGCATTCGTTAGGGGACTCAGCATTGCCCATATCAAAATTGAGGTTCATGGTTTCAAAACTTTGGAGATCAATCATGACACGTCCATCGGCCTTTAGCTTTTCCACCTGCAAGCATTTATCTACCATTTTCCAACGCAATAAAGGGTCCTCATAGCTCATAAAGTGGTTTTTCGAAGCAAGTCTGAAAAACTCTTCCCCATTTCTGGTAATAGTTTCTTCTAGAAAGCCGTGAGATTCAGAAAATCTGAGCGGAATAACGGGCAAGTCAGAAAAGCTGATTTCACCTTTGAAATTACCAATCATACGCGATTCATGACAACGCTTAAATCCGAATCTATCACAGTTGATCACATCAATTTTTATTTCAAATATTAGATTACTCATTCTATCAAAATATTCTTTGTCGAAGAAATTATACCACTGACTTGCTGACCTGACAACGCATATCGACTATAAAATATCAAATTTATGCATAAGGAAATGATTTATTGTGATTTCATGAATATACAAAAAACAAGGAAACAAATAGTAGCACAGTAGGCGAATACGCGCGGCAATAAAAAGTATCGAAATTTCAGGAAAAATACTCACTAATATACATTCAAATTCACTGTATAGAATACCCACAACATATCAAATGAAACCATTTTTCGTGCTAGCATTCTATCACGAGATTTGTTTGTCTGTTCAAATTCCTGTTCAAGGAATCGGATCAAATGATTCAAGTGGATTTTAGTCATCGTGTCAGATGCTTGATCTAAAAATTACAATCAAGATTAACTTAAAAAACATGCGAACTTGAAGCAATAATAGCTGCAGAATCAATTAACTATATACCAGCTTCCTTCTCAGTTTCAGACTCGGTTTCAAATTCAAACTTCGGAAGTTTAAGGAGTGATGCTATATTGGGTAGAATATTCATAATGTGATACAAATCCCGAGCTTCGACTTTGGGCACGTCGTTGAAAATGTAACTGTTTTTAGGAAGAATGACTCGTAGAATATCGATCAATGGTTTGGAACTCAACTCGACAATTGTTTTACAATAATCCATTGTGATATACTTGTAAACAACCTTATAAGGAATGCCTTCAGGTTTGTTCTTTACATTTTTTCTCTCGCGTACATGCTTCCCGGTTTGTAGATTGTACCATTCTTCATAGCAAGGCCACTTCCAGTCTTCCTTTCTGACTTCTTGAATTTCTTTTTCAGTGAAGATTTCATCATTATCATGATCATTATCACTTGAGTCATCACTATAACTATCCATCGTATTTCTGATAAATCTTAAATTGAAATGTGTGTAAATCGAAGGACAACATTTATAAAAAATATTCTGTATATTCATTATATGATATATCAGATTATGTAATAATGCATTTGAAAACAATATAAGTTTTCATGACCAAATAGATTTTTGGTGATACAGAAACATATCTTTTATATAAATGATTTTTTAATCATATCATTAACTCGAGTATTTTAGGAATTTATGCGTAAATATTTTACGCTTATATTACATCATACTATATCTATTATGCTTTTGTAAACAATTATAACCAATAAAATAGGCGTATATATGATTATCGAAATATTATAATCTGGAATATAAATAAATAACTTTTGGAATTTGAGTAACCATCAGTATATATATATATTCTATGTTATATTTCATCATACCACTTCTTTATTTTCATTATTAATCCAATTTAATAATGTATTTCTTTGTATTATGCAATAATGCATTTGATTATTGTATGAACGGTGTTGCAGAAACATGTTGATGGATGCTTTTCAAAATTAGCCAAAATTCCAATTTTTCAAGTTTGCATCACATACATCAGCTTTTTTAGCTTTTTTGTAGTTCATTTTGATTCGGAATATCAAAAAATTATAATGATCACCATGACACATATTTCAATTCAACTTTCCATAATTAGTTAGCTTTTAAATGGATATATCTGTATAACGATTATGAATTTGTAATTTAACGCAACTATTTTTGATAACTATCTCAAAGAATTGAACTATTTCTACGATAATAGTTATAATGCGAAAATTTCATACAACCGGAGAAAGCGATTCTAAAAAATTAGGAAGGACCACCAAAAATATAATCAATGGAGTTAGAACAATAACTGAAATATTCAGTCCTTTCGCACCATACATTGATACTATTATAAAAGCAGCAAATATTATAAACAAAATTCACGATGATGCTAAGTATAATAAAAATATTTGTTTAGTATTTGTTTATCGTATGAATGTTGCTAAATTACTGATCAAAAAGTTAACAAAATCCAAAGAAAATAATATAAAAGTATTTCAGGATCAATCAATACTTGACGCTTTTGTAAGATTTAGCAATGTTGCGTGTGGAATAAAAAACTTTGTTCAGGAAGTTTCTCAAATGTAGAGGTTGAAACCGGTTATCGATATCGGATTTATAACTGGTTTTTATCGTATCAGATTAAAACCAGTTCAGAATTTTGTAAAATCGATAACTGATTATATTTATAATCGATAACTGGTTTTTTATTGGTTTATAATATAGGAGTACAGATGACGGTAAATTCTGTCATTTTCATTTGAAAATTAATCACATACATATATTATTATGCATTATTGTAAATATTTATATTAATTTATTATAGATACTATAAAAGTAACCCGCAGATAAAAAA